TAACTAACCTGCAGTGTTAAAGGAACATGGCAATTCCACGGTTATGTTGTTGTTATTTTAAATCTTCATACAGCAAAATATTGTTTATTAGATCATTTTAGGGTAGGCTATCTCTTTGCTTTAACAATTTTAGCTGTTTGTATATTTTTCTAGTTTTGTACACCACCCAGAATTCATTGAAGTTGGGCAAACCAAGAACACTTCCACTAATGTTGATAGAGCAAGCCACCAATACATTAAAAAAATAAAAATAAATCTCCCTTCCCTTCTAGCACTGAAGTTACTTAGTTGGGTAATGAAACATCTTCAAGAAAACAACCAAGTTCACCAAGCACCAAGGACCCCACAGTTCAACCTGGAGCTACAAATATTCTATCTCTTGGTAGTCTTAACTTAGTATTGTGAACTATCAACTTGAGCCAACTTCCCGTTTGCTGCCTGGAACCCAAATTCTCAAGTTTTACTTGCATCTATTCATATTAACAAGGAATTGTGACTTTCTATAGTTTAACACACTGAAAAATAACAGGACTTACATTTTCACATAGGTACGAACACCCAATAGCTAAAGGTCCTTCCCACTCCACATTGCTCTGCCTGCCACACACTTGTAGCTTTGAGCCAGTGTTGTAACACAAGAAGTCTTTCTTTGCGCGGCTAACACCTGGTATTGTTGAAAAGAAGCCAGGTGGTTTTAACTCCAGGCTCGTGTGATTGATGATCCCCTCTTTTGTCTCACATAGTAACCATCTCTCACACTTTGGGTGCAGATGTTGTTGTAGTTATTAAAAACGCCCCCTTTTTATTCTTCCTACTTGGCTAGAGGAACCAATGCAGCAGTCCTGAAAGATTGAGGAATTAAAAGCACTTTCCTCTCACCTAGATTCAATTGGGATGAATGAAGTGCGATATCTGTTTTTAGAAATGACAGGCTTTGGGATTTTTAAAACCTTGGGAGCCAAGTCACAGGAACAGCTGGCAAATGTTCCATGGAGCAAACACCATGGCCAAATAAGTAATGAAGCCTGGCTGACTCAAATCTCTTTTCAGATTTTTACTTACTTGGCAACAGAGAATCTTGGATTAGGATGAAGTAAAGTTCGTAAACAGTCAAATTAAGTCATCCTGTTGGCTAGAGCTTATTTGACTCTATGGTTATTTTATTTTACACTTTCTTTTATTGTTTTTCCTGGCAAGTTAACTGTGCTTAGGTAATGAAACAGCACCCAGTTTTTCTGAGCTACTATGAAGCCTGTCCATTTGCAGTTTTGAAAAATATGAAGCTTGACAATATAGATGACTACATCTTTTGTTTAAAAAAAAATCAAAGCATGTTAAAAACAAGCCTTTCCCAATCTGGTCTGGGAATTCTGAAAGCTGTAATCGTATTAGTATCCTATTATGATTTATGTTGATCGCTTTAGTACCCTGTGACTATCACTTGAGTATTGTATCTATGATTTATGACGATTGTATTTTATGATTATGATTTTCACTTGTTGCTTGTATGTACACTGAGAGCTTATGCCCCAGAAACAAATCCCTTATATGTGTCCAATCACACTTGCCCAATAAATAATTCTATAATCAGGGACACGAAAGACATTGGGAAGGTCACAAACGATGATCATGTGAACCTAGGATGCTGCAACCATTGTAAACACATGGTGGTTATCAAGCCCCTAATTTGATCATGTACGTGCAGAGGTGGCAAAGGTTGATCGACACAGCATTTTGATTTTATTTTCTTCACCTAAGAAAACAGCTTTACTATAGGGAGAATAGAGGTTATGTTGTTATCTTGATATAACAAGGAGAAAGTTACTTTTTCTTTCCCATTTTCTTTCCTTTCCTTTTTCACTCCTCTTCCCTTTTTCTTGTTTTTGTAGTTTGTATTGACTTTTATCCTTAGCAAGTTTTTTCAGAAGTGATTTGCTGTTGCCTCCTTCCTAGAGTTGAGAGAAAGTGACTACCTGAAGGTCACCCAGCTGGTTTCACATCTAAGGCAAAACTGTCTCCTAGTTTCCAGCCTTGATGCCTTATCCTCAACACTAAATTGGCTCTCAGAATTGGAATGTAGAGCTAACCCAATCCGATACTATCTCAGCTTTCAAAGTTCTTCTTAAAAACCTTGAAGGGGAAAGGATGTTTTTTTTAAAAAAAAAAACTTGAACTGTTACAACCCATTTACTTTCTTTTTTGATCACCAAAGAAAATACTCCCCTTTTGAAGGTTCTGGCAGACAAAAGGCAAAAGACAGGTTGCATTTAGAAAATACTACATAACTGAAATGCCTTGATCATGGCCAGAGAAAATGGATTTCCTGAATCAATAAATAGGCTCTTGTCAACATGGAGCTGACTTTTACATTTAAAACACCTTGACCTCAGTCCTTGGAGAACTTCAGACAGCTCCTTCCTCTCCCATTCCTCCATCCTTCTCCATTATGCCCAGGTGAGAGCCACCAGTGAATTAAGAGGAATCCCCCTCCCTGCTTTTATTGTTGTTGCTGTTGTCTGTGTTAACTTAATCAATCAATTGTTCTGCTACAAACTGCTTGGATAAAGAGGCACACCGAGGATGTGATCAAAGCATCTCCTTAATATTGTACATGTCTCTGGAACAGAAAAGGCCAAAGAGGCAGCTCCCCTGGAGTGGGGGAAGGTTGATATAAGGAGAAGCACCAAAACATCAAATAGTCTCAGGATTCCTCTACCAGAGAAGTGAACCAACGGTGCAGTGAGATCAACACCCAAAATGAGTTGCTTCATGCCCACTTTGCTGGATCCGTTTACATTAGATAGGCAATAAAATCAACATGGCGTTTCTTCTTCTGATATTTATTTCCAGTTCTTTCTTTCTCCCAGGCATAATGCTCAAAATAGGAAACTTAAGCTGGGGGCCCAAGCCAGCTAGAGTTATGATGATGCATCCCTAAAGGTGGTTAGTGAGGACTATCCGTGACTCAGGGACTTGTGAATAGACATGGTTAGGATTACAGAGTCAAAAGTTGTGATTGAGTCCAAGTAGACTTTCACTTTGTGCTTAAACTTTCCTACCAACCTCCAGAGACGTTCTAAAGAGCTTCACTTGGGCTGAAATTTGTTCGTTGTGCATCTTTTGAAAATCACGTGCCACACATGATATTTTCCAATGGATTGAATTTATTACAATATATTTATTTGCATTTTGTTGACCATTAAAATGAAGTTATCTTTTTTTTAAATAGAGTCGCAACACTACTGCACATATGTACAGAAAAAATACTTTTCCCAAATATATCTCTCAGTAATTGTCCCACTTGGCCTCAAATTCCATCACCATTATTTAAATTTCAACATATGGAACTAAATAGCCATAAAATGTATCAAAATAAACAGGGATCCACCTTGCATATTCTACATTAAGATATGGGAGACAGTATAAACAGAGCTTTCTATTAAGAAAAAGGTATCTTTTCTGTAACAGAAAACCATCAATACACCAGAAGTAAAGAGGGTCATTTTTTTTTCTTTCACAGAAAGAATTAATTCATCCATTCCATGTTTATTGTGCAAATTCAACAATGCCATTTTAATGTATGCAGAACTACCTGGCCAAATTAAAAAATATTTAGAAACCGTATGTGCAGCTAATTTTAAGTTTTTAACAATAAAGCTTTAAAAAATATTCCTCCCCAATCAATGCCATAAATATCAGCTGCAATCCTCCCAGGAACTACATTCAGGACTACAATAGCATTTCTAATAAAGCTTTGGGAAGTTTTTAAAAAATAATTTTTTTGCCGGGCACGTTAAAAATCAGCAAACAAGAACAAAATAAATTTGCCAAGTTTTCTCCAGTGGATTCACATTTTCTTAAAGAAATCCAGAGTTTGCCTCAAGTATTATCGCAGTAGAGTTCCGTTGTGGGGTGATCATGACAGGCCCATCCAAAAATTCTCAGTTTAGCATTAGTGACACAGTCCAATTCCTGAAAATATTTCCTGTTGGCTTATGAACAATTCCTTAAAATGAAGCCTGTTTATAAGGCAGCATTTTCCTCCTTTAAAAACTGGAATAAGAAAATAATCTGCACTTACCAAGTAGTGAATTCTAGCTGTGTTTTTGTAATTTAAGTAAATGGGAATGAAATCTGTTTAAATAGGACTGGGCAGAAGCAAGATTCCAGGAGCTATACAACATTATTGTGTAACCTTAGGTGCATCGTGCATGTTTTGATCCGAGAAATCACATACAAATTCAAAATGGCAAAACACATGTTCTGGCTGCAATGTGCGTAAGAAAGAGGCATAAGCAAGAGAAACATTCTGCAATAAATATACATGCCCCAAAGGTGATAATATCGAAACATGTTTTTCCATGGCTTTCTGTTCCCCATGCTAGACTTTGAGGTTTATCAAATGTTGCTCAATCCATAATAGTGTTCTTGGACCTGAGAAGTAGATTTTATGTTGCTCAACTAGTAATTTCGTAACATTAAAGACCTTAAAATTATGCTGGTTTTGGATCAGTACCTGTATTTCTTTATGTACCCGTGATATTGCCCATATGTAGGAATCATTGTACATTCAGAAATAATTGGAGGGACTTTACTAATCCCATCAAGATATGGTATCCAATTGTACTACTTAAAGCATATAGGATGACACAGACAAGGAAAATCCTGTTCAAGGGAATGAAATGGAATGTGTGATCTAGTTCAGGGATCCCCAATCTGTAGACCTACACCAGTCCACGGCATGTCATTAACCGGGCCGCGCAAACAAGCAAAGCCCCATCCCGCAGGATGCAGGCAGCATGCAAAACCATGTCTCCTCTGGTCCACGGAAAAACCTCTCTCCACGCAACCGGTCCTTGGGGGCCAAAAGTTTGGGGGCCACTGCCCTAATTCATCTAATGGAATACAAAAGAACACGCTTGTGTGCTTGTTGAAGCAAAACAACATGTAGAAATTTGGCTGTGCGCACATAATTCCCCTTTAATTTTAACCGCTTGGGCTTTTTTTCAAAAAGCTGAACCACAGAGTTTGAAAGAGAGAAATGGATTCAAATCTCAACTCCATTTCTCCTTCCCTGTCAAGCAAGTGGCTTTAGGGCTTGAGCAGTTTTGGTTTTACTTTATTTATTTTACATATGCTGCTTTGGACTGCTGAGAACAGTAATCAGAGGAAACAGTGACATTGCTTCAGAAAGGGTTGTCTATTCATAAAAATATTAACAGCACAGAAGGAATTAAATGAGAACCTAAAACCAATTTCTAGCTATGGTCACCGACAATACTGATTTGAATCAATCTTCATTCCAAAGATTGTAAGTTGAGAACAGAATCTACAACATACGATTTAATCGTGTGGGCTGTCTTACAGGATTAAAATTGCAAATTTTAGACACAATTAACATATGATGAAATCCAACTGTACTGATGGGGCTTATTTCTGAGTAGCTGTATCAGTTGCAGCATAAAGCTAACGGGATAATTATTTGGCGGAATGTGCACTGTAGGAGCCAGTGTGAAATTAATTCATTAAAGACTGACAAGCTATGATACTGAATGTAACTTTCACTAGCAGTGGTAAAAGCACCACTGATTTAATGGCAAATTAATTTCCTTACTTAAAATTGGCTTGCAGCTTTGGATCCTAAATCCAGTTAAAGGCAGAGGTTACTAACACAGCAATCCATTATATTTTTTCCAAAAGTTAGGCCCAATGACTTCATTGGGACTTTCAAGTCATTATTTATGGGAAACCATCTAGGTCAAGTTAGTGAAAGTAATTTAACTTTATATAATGAACTTTAGCTGGATTTGGCCACTATATTTGGCAGCTGCTAGAGTGCAATTATGAAAACACAAATAGACAGAATTCTAAGTCCCCTTTTAAAAGAAGCAGAATCTATATAATGGTAAACAAAGTATATCTAATATTCATATAAGAAGGATTCCAAACCATTTCTTCTAAGGGGTATTATTTACTCAGAGATCAGCAAGAGGAAAGTACTAAAGTGACATTGCAACACAGTGAGAAAGATATTTTAACATATGTTCTAATCATCTCAACACCATTAATTTTGCCCAGTCTCTAACCTTAAAAAACACTTACTGTTGTCTTTATGTCTAGTCTTAAACTGATTACCTAGCAACCTCCCAATAAATATTAAAAGGAAATAGTTTAATAAAAGCAAGGATTTTCTTCTTAAAAAAAAGATTTGATATTCTACAGTATAAACAATGGAAATCTGCATTTTAAAGAAGGCCAGCAACTTGTAAAAAGCAGCTCATCTCAAAAGCAATCTAAAATATTCATTATAATATTGAATCTCAGGACTGTCAAATGTAAAAAAAAGGAAGATAATGATTTCTCCTAATTGCATCAAGAAAAAAATGAAATGTAAAGGAAAAACTCTCAGTAATGGCTGTCTATAATGTAGGACACCCCAAATCATATTAATCTCAAAATTGTGTGGTAAAATAAAAAGAAAAATACCCAAAGATAAATCTTCAAAGGATTTAAAATCAGCCAACTCCTTCACACTTCACATCTAATTCACGTAGTGCAAATAAAATATGCTGAATCAGCAACAAAGCAATTCAAGAAAGTTCACTAAAATACTTCCAGACATGTTTCCCTTGCAATTGGAAGCAGAAACCTTTGCGTATAATTATTATGTAAGATGGGAAGAGCACACTTCTACTTAAATGGCATTGCTCTTCATGGAAAAGAAACCAGGAAAGGCAGAGGACTCCACTGCCAAGTATCCTTTCTAAGACACCCTATTTGACAAGCATATGTCATAGTAGTAAACTCCAGCGGATCCTCTGGTGGGTCCAAATCTTCTAGCAAGATTAAGACGAAACACAGTGTATAGTAATGGTAGCAGACTCAAGGTTTTGTTTGGTAAAATATGGCCTAAGCTTAATAGAGCCAACTAGTCGTATGCAAATGATAATCGAAGTGCATTCAATTCCTTTAAAAAAAAAAGATTTTCATCGTAATAATGAAATTGAAAGAACAATTTGGCAATATTGACAGAATTGGAGGTCAGAATCATACCGTTAGCAATAAAAACTAGTGCAGTGCTAGTGATCACAGCAACGCTGTGTTAAGCTTATCGATTGACTGAATTTTGTTCACTTGATCTCAACGTATTTCATGGAAGGTCGTTTTGGGGGGGGGGGGGCAGGGAGCATAGAAAATGTATGGGTTACACCTCAGAGGTTTAGAGTTGTTTCCTCTTCCTCTACCCAAGAAGTAGGGGATGGAATGGCGCCGGTTATGCTTCAAGGGGCAAACACACCACTGTGCTTTCAAAGCTCACATGGAAACACTGAAGACCATAGAGGACTTTGATATTCCCACTACCACAGCACTCGGAACTGTCCCTTTCAAAAGAATACATGGCCTTGGGTACCTCTTTTAAGCATTATGCTGGTGAAGAGCCGGATGGACAACCTTCAGAAATGTTTTTAAAGAACAAAGGTAATTTCTGAACTGATTCTTTTTTTAAACCACTTCATCCCCAATTTTGTTTTGAGGCACAAAATCCAGTTGAACAACTGAAGCACAGAAGAGCTGAGATGTTGAGATGCCGCCAAGATGTTTCAAAAGAGCTATGGCAAACTAGAATGAATATCTTGATTTTCAAAAGGTGGCAGTGGCTCCCTCCAGTATGTGAACTGACTGTAGGTGTCAGAACAGGGGAAGTCTGAAGAATGGCTTCTTTTCAGCAAGGGAAATACATGATCCACCACTTCACAAAGTCTCACATACCTGTGAGGAGAGAGAGAATGGGGGAGTAAGAATGGAGGGGGGGGAGAGAGAGAAACATCTGAGATATTATCTGAACTATTTTATTTATTTGTTTAGTTTACATGCTGCCCTTCTCACCAATAAGGCAACTTTGGACAGCTTATAAAACAGTAAAAAGGTAAAAATCAAAACATTATAAAATATATTACTGATGTGGTGAATTGCATGAACACAACTCGGGCAAAATAATTAGAAAAACATCACATCCCTACAGCCTTTTAACTTATTTCTGAATATTAGGTGCAGTGGTGTGATTTTCTAAAACGCTGCTAGGAAGTGAAGCGTTGGGATGCTGCTAAAGATTTGTAAACCGCAGTTAGTCAGTCTGGTACCAAAAGACTTGTAAGAAAAGAAGCCACAATAGATTTACAAAACACACTAAAGTAAAAACAGCTACAAAAGCATCTCCTGCAGCTTACAGAAATGAACAGGTAAACATTTGAGGTGTTTTTAAGAGTAAGCCTTTCAATGGCCAAGCTGAAATTATCCTGATCTTTGGATTTCAAAGATTGGAAAGAGCAGGATAGAGATACAGGTGAAAGCAACAAGATCTTATTTTTCCTAATCAAATTTATTAACCCCTGGGAAAACTCCATCTGTAGCAAAGTGTTACATTTCCCTCTATAATCACTTCCAAATAGTTTTTCCCACCTGAATTTCAACTTCAGAAAACCTATCAAACACAACCACCAGGGTAGACAAACAGACAGCTTATGAGACATCCGAAAACAAAAGTCAGGAAAGGAGAAAAGTTGTTAATGGATTGTACCTACAACGGGACTTGGTCGTTCTTTTTTAGAAATGTTTACTTGATTATTCTGTTGTATGCACAAATACCCTCACCTTATTGAATTCTTAAGAGGGCATTTTTAAATCACTGCAAGTCTATTTTTTAACCAAATGTGTGGGTCCTTTAATAAAGAGATTGTTTAAATAAAGAACATGTTGACTCCTACTTTTTGATGTTATTAATCTCTACTCAACCAAAGTAAATGTTGGGAATACACATCATATCGCTGAAATTTTATTTCCATTTAATTCATGTTATAACTTCCAGTATCTAGGACTTAAGGAAAAAAATCAGCACTACATAAGCAGCCGAAAGATACTCACGATGAAATGTTGGTCTTAGCATGTTCTTGTATTAGTTCTCCTTTTGGATTAACAGTGAATATTCTGTTTAATGAAACTCCAACTTGCTTGTATGAGTACACATCCTGAATAAAATAACAAAAATATATGAATCTCATTAAAATAAGCCACAAATAGTTTTAGTTGTATATATTGGAGGCACTTCATAAATAATTACAAAATATATATTCCAAGAACTAGGTCTGAAGTTCTAGGTCTGAAGTTCTGGGATAGTAGCTTTCACAGTAATAACAAAGAAATGAATTGCAACCGTTGTTTTCAAACAATTTTAAAAAAACTTTCTGGTCATTATCACCATTAAAAACGAATGGCAGAGTTTCACAAACATTCAGTGAATGCTTGATCTGGCTGCCTAGGGAATGGAAGTGATATAGAAGGGGTTACCTAAGCACAGATAAGATACCTTTGTTAAGGATTACCTTGGGAAGATAAGAGCAGTGTATGCATTTCTCTGCTGTTATTTTGTTTACTGATTGCCCACCTGCAGATTTCAGCTAATTCAATTATACCTAGGCAGGGAGAGACCAGTGGGGACCAGTGGGATACCTACAAGGTCACTGAGGCCTATTCTCATTATCTGATCCACTTTGAGCTGGATGTCAGCCATGCAAGTCCTTTGCAGGTGATTGAGGCAGCCTAGTTACATAATCTGGGAAGGGTTTCAAGCTGTTAGTCCTGAGATAAGAGACAGGGTTTTTTCTGGTGTGTGTGTGTGTGTGTGTGCAAGTATGACCACCTGTGCTTCAGATCTATGTCCATTCTAGTTGGTCAAGGTCTCCTAGGAGGTGGTATGGTTGGATCTATGTAGTGGTGAACTCATCCTTGAGAGAAGAGATAGCTCTATTGACTCTGAAGGAGATGGTTTAATCCCTCCTCAAAAAGCCATTGCAATACAGCAAGACTGCAGTTTCAATGGGCATTTCTGGAGGAAACAGGTTCTCTGGACTCCTTTTCATCTTGTCTCAAACCAATATGTAGCCCTGATACCTCTCAGCAGCTTTTGATACCACCAACGATGGCATTCTTCTAAACCAGATCAGGGGTCTGGGGTGGTCAAGAACAGACCCAAATGGCCCCAGCCAGCATGGCCAACTGAGGCCGTGGGAGTTGAAGTTTAGCAGAATCCAAAGAATACTTTTCTGAACTGAAAAATGAATCCTGCAGTGCCAATGCTTCTGTGGAAGAACTCTTTGGGAATTATCATCACAATTAGTACTTACAGCAGGCCTGTTGCCAAAGGCAGCATAAAAAGGTTCTGTGTTAGGATGAAATAAGTTTTTTATGTCTGTTAAACACTGAACTTTAAATTTCTCTGGCTTCTTCTCTATCACTTCCCTGAAATAAAAGAAGCAAATAAAATTAAGTAAAAATAAAATAAGGTGAAATATTAGATGATAATGCTTTATGTGTAAACAATATATTTCTGTCAGGTATGTGAACACTTTCAATTGATGAAGACTTCGGACTAATCTCTCAAGGTTTTCAGAAATTTTTTATAGTCCATAGGGCTGTTTAAAATTAAACATGAAGACTCATTCTATGTACACGAAACCGGCCAGTTGCATTGCTATAAGCCTGCTGATTTTGGCAATATGGGAACTGTGGTTTATTTGGATAAAATTTCAGTCTTCAAAAAAAATTGTATACTTACTGATTAATATATTGGCCTTATAATTATTTTATGATTATCAGATTCCCTCAGTGGACAATAACATCAAATCAGAAAGGAAAAGTTTTCCAATCTGCTGTATTTTAGAAATATAAAGATCAAATGTTTTTCTTTTAGTTTATTTTTATTCAATGCAAATAAGAAGCAAGTGGATTAAGAATATATTTAGTGAGGAAAATACTCTGCTTTTAAACATTTCCCACACAATTTTGTGCATAAGCCTAAGGTAAATTCTGATTACAGGTTCCAAATCCATACATTTATATTTCTGCCAAAAATAGCTTAAATCTCACTGCTTTTTCATCAGGATCACATAATTACCTTTCACTAGAGTTGATCCATAAATACTGATTGCAACAATGTGCATTACGGGACAATAATATATTTTACTACTACATTTCGTGGGCTCACTACACAAGTATATGATACCTTTGCAATAGTATATAACTGTTGACACCTTAATCTTATTGTGTAATAGGTCTAACCCCTGAACCATTTTAGTGATGGAAAAAACTACGCCCTGTTTATAACGATGTTTCTCAGCTGTGGCCCTTTTAAGGAGTGTGAGCTTCAACTACCAGAATTCCTCAGTCAGAATACTGGGAGTTGATATCCACACTGTCAGCATTCCAAGTAATGCACCCATCTTTGAGATGGGTAATGAGGCCATCTTTGAGGCCTTAGGGTTACCACACACCTCTTAAAAAGGCCAAGATTGAGATACGTTGTTCTAGGGTTACAAGAACCAAGTTCTGTGATACCTGTGAAAAGCTGAGAACAAACTGCTGGGACTTAATAGCACAGGCCCTTGCGGTAACACCGTTCCCCGCTCATTCACCCAATGCAAGTAACCTCGAGTCATATCTGCCATCCCAATAGCACGGGCTGAACAGTACAAGAACTTGTATCCATTCCTGTGGTTTTAAAGAGGAAAAAAACAGACGGTCATCATCACACATTTATTGAAATTGTTTTTGCAACCTACAGGGATTATTATTATTATGTATGCAGCAATGTGAAACCACAGCTGCCAGTTCTTTAGCTGATGTTGGCCTTCATACACATCAAGTTCTTCCCATGAATCTTGAATAGATATAGATAAATATTTATTTATTTTGTCAAACAATTATTAGATAACAGGTATAAGTATAAATACATGTTATAAATACATGAAATGGATACAAATAAGAAAAAAGAAAGAAACAATAGGACAGGGGTGGTAGGCACGTTTTGGTGCGCTTATGCACGCCCCCTAATATATATAGGTAGTCTTTTTCTTATAACCGTTCATTTAGCAATCATTCTAAGTTACATGTAGGAGAAACCTGGGCTGGAAGGTGAGATTAAATGTGTTATCATTTGGAGTCATTGAATTTCCACAAGAGATCCAAGTCCAGTTTCCACCCCAACCCAAATGATTTCCATTGACTCTTATATAATGCCAATTTAACTTTGACCATTAGTTGACTAGATTCTTATATTAGATGTAGCAATAATACATTCTTCTGTGCTTTGAACTCAATGGATGCTCGTGGTTATTTGAGCCTGACGTTACGACACTGGAAAAAAAGTGAGTTGTGAATTAGTCCTTGCATTTATGATCGCCACAGTCACATGATCAAAATTTGGGCACATGGCAACCACTATGCATTTACAAGGGTCGCAATATCCTAGGGTCAGGTGCTAGCCATCTGTGACCTTCCCAGCCAGATTCCAACAAGCAAAGTCAGTGGGGGAAGCCAGATTTGCTTAACCACCTTCGTTTAGCAATTTGGAAATTCAGGTTACAATTATGGCTGTAAATTGAGGACTACCTGTATACCCCAAAAGGTATACAAGTCCAAATACAGATATGCAAGAAAATTTAGTACAGTTCACATCCATGAGTTCTGCATATGCATTAAAGGAGGAGGAAAAAAAAGTGCTCTTAGGCAAGTTGGGTGAGCCATTGAAACTTATGCTAACTCTTCAAGACTTGTGGACTTCAACTCCCAGAATTTCCTAGTCAGCATGGCTGGCTGAAGAATTCTGGGAATTGAAGTCCACAAGTCTTAAGAGTTGCCAAGTTTGAGACCTATTATGCTACACTATGTTTTCTGGAAGAGTACATTCATGGTCTTTAAGAACCAAACTTTATTCCAGGAGAGGGCAAAAATGATAAGAGCTGTTACACAGCCATGCTATTTATCATTCCAAAGCTGCCTCACTGTCCTTAAGGATGGGCGCTCAATTCTCAATGTTTGAAATATTCTTAGCTCAATAATTGGCATTTATTTTTATACGCCAACTCATACGCAATGGAAACTGCTGATAAAGGAAGAAGTGATTTTGCAGAATAGTTAATATACTTACTGGCTCACATTGTGATACAATTTAGCAATGCCTTGATGTGTCCAGTCCTTGCCAAGGGTAGGTAGAATATGACCTAAAGTATCTGATCTAAAGAAACAGAAGATATTTGAAACCAAGAAGAAATATACAATAACAAGCTGTATTTGTGGAATACAGAAAACACATTTGGCAGTTAACATTTATATACTTGTTGGTCAGCACAATTACTTTAATGATCTCTAGCAATGCAGAAATATATTTAGAAATATCATTTATTTATTTTTTCCTTTTCAAACAATTATTTTCACTTTACAATGGAGGTATTGGAAATATTCTAATGTTGACCCTATTGACTTGGTAATAGTATTATTACCAAAATCCTTCCTTGACTAAATTATATATTAGACGCAGCAGTTATTTTGAGCCACTTTACTCTTTCACTTTCATATTTCAATAGATGTTTAAACATTTTAGCAATTACTTGTTCCTATTTGTACATAATATTTCAAACTCAGTCCTACAATGTTCAGAACCATGAATTCTGTCTAGTTTAAACTTTATAATAATTGTAAATAAAAAAAATTGGTAAGTATATCCCTCTATCACTAGTTCTTCTGTTGATTTTATTTTACATTTCCCCTGAGAGAATTCTAATAACTCACAATAAGTTAGCCATTTGTGTTGGCTTACTATTAAACATCCATCAAATGCTTCTTTTGTTCTAACAGCAACAAAGATGTTTAGGGCACAACCTGGGTTTGTATCTACTCCTTAGTCTCAGTATGACATGTCTAACAGAATTTGATGCATTAGTAGGATTTAACATTAGTAGGATTAAACAGAAGCTAAAGATAGTAATGAAAAATATGAAAATACAAGATAAAGCAGAATTGATGAATAAAAGGTTTTAAAATTCAGAAGAAGATAAAATATTTGTCATCATGTGACAAATATGGGTTACCGTATATACTCGAGTATAAGCCGAGTTTTTCAGCCCATTTTTTGTGCTGAAAAAATCCCCCTCGGCTTATACTCGAGTCAGATTCCCCTCTGAAAAAAAATGGTGTGGAGTCGCTGCCGCCGGAGCGGCCCCAGTCCCGCCGCCTCGGGAAGGGAAAGGCAAAGCGCTTTTTGCCTTTCCCTTCCCGGCTGGGGCTGTTG